TTCTCTTGGACTCAGCCCACTAGTTAATGACCTCCACTAGCCAGGTGCATCTGTGTATAAGCCAGCGATGGCAAACTTTTTGGAGCTTTCAATGATACGAAGAGCTCTCTGCAGCCTGCGTGCTATGCCGTGCTCCCTCACTTATCGCCAAGGTTATGTTCCAGTAACCCCCGCAATAAGTGAAAATCAGCAAAGTAGCGATGTTATATTTATGTTAGTATTTAAGATATATTTAAGGCTTTATAAACCCTTCCCACACTTGGATAAGCCTTTCCTATACTTTGAAAAACTCTTCTAATGTTCTTAACCATTTTCTAAACTCATAAATTTACATAATTTTAACAACATACATGTAATTTATGGTATTGCAAAATCCTGCAATATAGCAGAAAATCTGTGATAAACAATTTCAGTTAATATTTTTTGAAAACCCATGAAACAGTGAGTCCATGAAACGTGAACCATGAAATAGTGAGGGACTACTGTAACAGGTTCACTACCACTGCTACAGACAGACAGACAGACAGATGACAGACTTATTTTAAGGAGCCGTAGGGCTTGGCAAGTCTGACAGGATAACTGTGAAGGCTGGAAAGCCGGGAGAGTGGGTGGCAAAGCTAGTGAGGACCAGGAGGCAGATCCTCCTTCCTTCGGGAGCTCAGTGACCTCTTATGGTCCTCAGTGAACTGCACGAGGCCACCATGGGGTGGAAAGCCACTTGTTTCACCCAGAAGTCTCCTGGTTTAAAGGTCATGCTCATCTCAAACAGTCAGGCACTGCGGCCCATAGTCTGGGAAGCTAAGGCAGGAGTATTGAGGGTTGACGCCTCTTTGGGAAATGTAGAGGCTTAGCAAAACCCTGTATCAAGAGGAAACATTGTTTTAAAAATGACTAGAGGTAAAGATCAGGGCAAAGTCCCTGGGTTCAATCTCCAGGACTTCAGAGAAAAAGAATGGGGGAGGGAGGCAGGCTGGGAGGAGAGCCAGCTGGCCATCTGGATCAGTGTTTGACCAAGCATCTCCAGGCTGGGTTGGCAGAGGACTCACCACACCACACCACACCCTGCGCACATGCTGGCTCTCTGCATGAGCCTTCTGCCCTTCAGATACCATGGGTTTTGTCAGGGAGGCCAGGTCTGGTGCAGCACGGCTCTGCAGTGGCCCAGTGATGCTTTGTGCAATATGCAAGCAACTCAACTCACTTGGCAATATAGACGGCCGACCCTTCAGGATGGGCATGGAGCACCTCATGAATGAGATTTCACAGAGGAGGGAGGCATGGATGCTGCCGTGCCACAGGGCAGTACATATGGCATGGAGAAGAACTGTATGTGGAACACACAAAACTCGCCATCAGCTCACGGCCACTCTGCAGTGAATTCACCCCAGATGGATCAGTTCTAGAAAGGTTCTATGAGAAGGCCCATCACAAAACCACACAGCTGAAGAGAAGCAGCAATCGGCAGATAATGCTCCCCAGAAAGGGCTTTCTCCCAAGAACAGAGCTGACCAGAGCTAAACATACTGGTCCACACTTCTGAGCATTCTACAGCTCAGTGGTTTCCTGGTCAGCTGTGACCCTGTCTCACTCAGCTTGGCTTCCCATAGTTATCTCAGCATTCTTCACATCCCAAGGGTACTAATGGCTCCAACTCTTCTCCCACCCTTCTCTGCTAGAAAAGCTTGCCTGCTGCCAACTGCTGAACAAAGAGGCTTCCTTTCCCAGCATTCTCAGCAGCTAGGTACAGTCATGTGACCAGATACAACCAATGAGAGCGGTGAATTCTGCTAGGGAATTCTGGGAGAAATATTCACTGTAAAGTCACAAAGTAAGTCTTAGTTGGATGACAAGGAGACACACAGAACCTGGGCAACCTCTTGAAACTATTAGAAACCCTGCATCTGTGGGCTGTGGGACTTGAGGACACATTCAAAATATATCCATATTGCAACCCTTGCCCTCCACCTCTAGCACAACACGCTGACCCAGGCCACCAGACTTCCTGGGTACTGCAGGGGCCTTCTTGCTCTTCCTTCTACCCTTGGACCCTTTCCCCTCTGCACAACACTGTCACCAAAATGATCCTCCACAAACAGTTACACATGATCATGGCAGTCCTCCATCTGAACCCCCAGGGCCTGCCCCTATCCCTCTGAGAAATGACCAAGATATGCACCACCTCCTACAAGGTCCTCATGACCAAGTCCTGGGTGTTTCCCTCACCCCACCTCCCAGGACTCCACTACATGAAAGTCCCTCAGCATCACCAAGCACACCCCCTTGCCTGGTCTTAGCACTTGTACCCCCACCCATCACCATCTTCAGGGCTCTGCTCACAGGTCACCTTATCACTAGGAAAAGGTCATGCAATGACCACCATAATGACCATCACAAGGACGGAAATGTGCTCTAGCACCCAAGGGCCACACGTGGCTGTGGCTGATATACATCCGAATGTGGCAGTGCTACTGAGCAGATGCTGAACCTTTTGTTTGATGTTAATTAGTTACATCTCAATATCCACGTGCTTAGTAGCAAACCTACTGGCAGCTCAGCTCTACAAAGCAGCAACTACTTCTTGCCTGTCCCACTGAGAGCCCCACATCCCTTTCTGTAGTTGCAATAGGTGCTGATTGCTGCCTAATGCACCCTAAATGCCCATAGCCATCTTTTGGCCGGCTCTCTCCTTTCTACACGTAAAATGATCAGTGAAAAAGACTCTGGGGTGTGTTCGGATTAATAGTGATTGACAGAGTACCTGGTGCAAAGTATGTGTTCAACCAATAGCCCTAGACAGGATTAAGAAGAGAAAAAGGGGAAAGAGGAGACAGAAGTCTTGTGAGCTTATTCAATTTCTTCGTTCAAATGTCCCAGTTAAACCCTGGGAGTGCTGAACACTTGGATGCCGATACAGGCTTGCTGATGCAGCCATCTCTAGCCACCAAGCAGCCATGGGCCCAATCCCGGCTTGGAAACCTCTTGCCTGTGTCGCCGTGGGTACCCTGCGCTGTGTTCTGTTACTGCCTCTAAATTATTGCGTCTAAGGCACTGTGCCCGTACACTGGAAATAGCAATAGCACTTATGGAAATATCCTGGAGTAACCAGTATTCAAAAGTTTCTCCGTGCAGTCTCTTCTTTTGAAGGAAACTGTTCTGGGTTGGTTTTTCTTCCTTCCATCTTTTCGAGACAGGCTCTCACTATGCAATTCAGGCAGCTCGAGCTCGTTTTGCAGCCCAGGCTGGCCATGAACTCAAAGCAACACTCCTGTTTCAGCCTCCCAAGTTCTGGAAATACAGGCATCAGCCACCGTGCTTGCTTGGCTTTTTTTTTTTTTTTTTTTTTTTTTTTTTTTTTTTTTTGGTACCTGGGATCAAACTTGGGACTTTTACTTGCCAGGCAGGTGCTTATGCCACTGAGCTGTGTTCCTGGTGGAAATTTTCCAAAAGCCTCTGCCTCCTCATAATCTTTATAGACTTTAATCCAAAGTAACCAAAGGCCCCGAACATGGACTTTGTAACAATGAACACTTATGCTGTGAGGAGAGCAGCTTCCGTGGCCAGCTCGCGGGGCTCCTGCTCCTGCTTTCTTCACTTAGCTTCTTGGGGAGACGCAGCACTGGCTTTAAAATTATCATCATCGCGATGCACGTGATCTGGGGCTGCTGCGGTAATTTAATTTCAGGATAAAATAACATCATATTCCAAGAAACTGGTTAGACTTCCTTTCCCATTTTGGACTTGTCAACTTTAAGTCTTTCTGTGGGCAGGAGACCTACTGTGCCTAGAAACGGACACCACGACACGGGTTGGCACAGATTACATGCGTGACGGAAAACTGGGCTAATGTTCACGTTTAAGAGAACATTACACCCTGTAGGCCCTGTCCTAAATACAAAACAAGTAAATAAAATTTTAAAAAGAATATTACAGTAAAAGACATCTTGTCAAGACTGATGAAGCATTTTAAAATGAGGGGATTAATAGCGATGTGTCTGTCTTTATTTTTTTTAATATAAAAAAAAATTTTTTATACTTAAGCATTTCTGTATGTTTTGATCTCATCTCATACTTTGATGATAGATTTTTGAATAAAATGCATGATCCTTACCTTTCCAAAACTCCCTTTACCAATGGCCCGCAGAATCTGAAAATGGTCAAAGTTGACTGCAAAGGAAAAAACAGGAAACAAGTCAGGGAGGGCAACCCACGCGGGGCTCTTTAGGCCCCTTTACCCACGTGCCAGCCCCCGGCTCCCGGCGCCTCTGATTTGACCCACTTTACATTTGCCACAGCAGCCCCCCCACCCCGAAGAGGTCTGCAGGCCACTGTCTACGTCCACCCCTACACACGTTCAATGGCCACAAGAGATATGTCTTGGGGGCCCGGAGAGAAACCGATTGGTATATAGATTTAAAAATTCTTGCACATGCTGGTCTCTTTCCAGGAAGCCCATTCCACTGTGCCCTCCCTCCCGTCCACCTTCGCTGTCACACCCAGGACACAGTGCCCAGCGACTCTACTGCCATCTTGTAGTCCCTTCCCGTCTGTCTGCCTCCGCCTGTCTGGGCCCTGGTGCCCACGCCCCCAGCTCCCCACATTCCTGGATGGCGTCCTCCACTCCCTGCTTCTACAGCCCCACCTCCAGCCCACTTTGGTCAGCGGCGTGCAGCCCTGACACCAACCCTCACGGGCATCTGGCTATCCCCTGCCTGGAATCTTTCTCTTGTGGCTCCAGTTCTCTTCTGCAGTTCTCGGTTTCTCCTCTCCAAAGGCTTCTGTTACATGGCAGTGATGCCCAAGGTCCCCCCTGCCTCCAGGCTGTGGCTGCCCCTGCAATGTTTGTGGAGGCGCCCAAGCCACCTTGAATTCACAGTGCCAACAGCAGCCACGACGGGTGGTGGTAACATCTGCCCCAGGGTGCAGGCTTGAGTCCTAGGGCTCCACCTGATGCCCCTGCTCCCCTGACCTGGTTCTCCGCCCTTTATCAGGCCCCTCTGCTGCGCTTCCTCCATGGCTGTGTACCCAAGGCCACCCCAGTCCTACCCATCTTCTTCGGTCACCTGCACCACCACAGCAGCTGCCCACCTGCCTCTCCCAGCCTGGTCTGAGTGTGCCAGCCTCACAGCCCCGCTTGCACTCCCTCCCTCCTGCCACACCCTCTGTGCTCTAGTGACCAAATACTCCCGTCTCTCCAGCTCAGGCTCTTCCTAGCCTGGAACGAGGCTCTGTGCATCACCAAAGTGCTTCCCTGAGCGCTGCGCTCCCCGCTGGGCTCCCTCCTCTGTGCCCCAGAGGCCTCTCCAGCCTCCAGCCCTGGCCAGCCCCGTATGGTGCAGTCACAGTCCTGAGGAACAGCCAGGCTCTTGCCAGATGCGTCATTTGGAATAATTTTGCATGCATTTGCATATATGACTAGGTTCACTTTTCTGACCAGACTCCAGGCTCCCGAGGTTAAAGGCCATGTTTGTTCTTTGCTGTTGTTCTCTTACCACCTAGCAGAGTGCTTACCATACAGTATTCAGTAAATACTCATTAGCCGAAGGGATGATTGAACAAGCTAATCTCCATATTCAGAGCACTGCGCACCACTCCTGCTACATAATAAGTGCTCGGTAAATATTTTTGAATTACATTGAATTAGAGCCAGTTTCCAATAACTAGGAAAGACAAGTTATTTACAGAGATGAAGTGAATTGATTAGCTCACTCCATACTGGAGCGGGGTTGTGGGGAAGTCGGGGAATACAATTAGCTCCTTGTGTATTAAACTTACGCGATGGAGGATAATTGTGCTGAATTGTTTCCCAGTCAAGCCAAAGTCAGACTCCAGTGAGCTATTCAACACCCAGCGTGCTCAGAATACAGAGATGGCGTTAACGGTTAACCTAGCAAAAAGCCTGGTTCCTTGACCTAGACTGGTTTAAGCCCAGAACCACCTGCTGGAAGAAATTCCTTACTCTGACCTTTCATCATTCACCAAAGGTCAAGGAGAAGAAAAAGGAACCAGTGTGCTTGGACCACGGCACTGTGACCGCTGGAGTGCAAGAACTGGATGTGTCTCGTCGATAACCTCCATGGTGCACAGGACGGGTCCGCCACCCTCCAGACGGCACCATCCTAGACCCTGGAGTCCTTGTGCCACTGTAAGCTTCCACGTCCCCGTACTGCGGGTCCCCTGCCTGGAAGGTCATCCCCCACACCACGCATTCTGGGGAAACTCCTTCCGGCCTTGGATACACCAGTGAGGTGCCTGCTGCCTTGTGAAGCTGCCCCAATCCTCAGCAAAGCACCTCCTCCTTGGTAGAATAAGTAAAGGAGAACAGGCGACTGTTGCCAACAGAGTTCTGAAAAGTCTCGCCTTTTGCTAAGAATGAAGAAGAATTCATTCATCAGGTAGTCAAGTTGCCGCCTGCGACAAGAAGCCTCCGGGTGGGCGAAAGCAGACCCCACCCCTGCTGAGGTAAATCGGAGGCTTTTGCACCAGGAAGTTGGGGTTTGGAGCAACAAAAACAGCCTTGGGCCCTCTGGGTAGCCACTTGGAAAAACTGAGATCAGATTTAAGGCTCTTCTTTCACCAGACTCCAAAATTAATTCCTGGAGCAGTGTTGAGATCCTAACACACAAGCCACAGAGCTAAGCATGTAATGTGGATGTTATCTGATAAATATGACTCAGGGAGAGCACTGTCCAGGCCTGGGAGCTCATCTCTCAGCAAGTAATCTTAGAGTCCGACCTCTGCTTAGCCTCCAACCCAACATCAAACCACAGATCAAAAGAGAAGAAAATGCGTCTGCACTGAACACATCTGGCTCTTTTTCTTGTCATTGTTCCCCAATCATACACCACAGCAACCACTCACACAGCCTCTCCATGGTGTCGGATGTTGGACATCACCCATGATGGCTCGAAACATGGGCAGTGGGGTAGATTCTAGGCCAAGTGTGCATCTATTGTGCAAAGGGCTCGAACACCTTTGGATCTGAGTATCTGAGAGGGTCCTAGAAGGACACCCCAAGAGTCACTGTGCTCCACTCCACTTGCCAGTGATTAATTGCCCCCTTCACAGGTCCATCCTGGCACCTGGCACCTTCATGTTCACATCGAGAGCTGAGCAAAGGCTAAAGCGACACACAGCTCCCGGCCAGTGGCCACTGTGGCTGGCAGGGCAGCACTGAGCCCATGGCATGAGGTAGACTGTTCACGCTTTCCCTGCTCGCTGTGCCCACATACTGCTCTGTGCAGAGGAGACAGTGGTGTGTACTGCACTGTGTTGCGACGGCTCCTCTCAGCCTTATTAAAAATGGTGCTGTTTTCCAGTTGATAAATGTGTTTAATAAAGCCCTCCAGCCTCTTCCCCGCACTCTGCGCTCTTATCAGCAGAAACACTGAACTATCAGCAGTCGGGACTCACATGCCTAATCCTACAGGAAAACATCAGTCAGCAACAACCTGTGGACAGAAGCTGATGTGGGTGCTGCTGGAAATGCGGAGTCCATGATTGAAAGAAAAAAAAAAAAAGCATCAGGGTGCATTTCAGAGGGAGAATAAAAGTAATGCCATCAACTCCTAGAAAGCAAACCTGCCCAGACACAGCTCCTGGGAGCCCCCACCTGTCCTAAGCAATCACCACCGACACTGAGGGTCACAACACACGGGGGCGCTCAGCAAACTGCAGGTGGGAGTGATGCTTCCACTCACGGGAGCCTTTGGGAAGGGAGCTGGGCCGGACCACTGAGGACTCCCCAGACAGAGGGGGCCAACCTGCATGGAGGGTCCAGGAAAGAGGCAGGTAAGGGGCAGAGTCACAGGCATGGGGACATGGCGGCTCAGGGCTAGGAGGGAAGGAGCTGCCATTTCATGGAAGGGGATGGAGAGTCCCAAGGGAGGCATGTGGGGAGTGAGAGACAGATGGAGGTGTTGCAGGGCCAGCAGGAGAGAGCACAGCCCGGCAGAGGTGCCCTGGAGACAGCCAGAGCCCACACCCCCACGGGACGTGGCCAGGGCCCCAAGAAAGCCCTTGTAGGGTCAGGCTGCCTGCTGTGCTCCCTGCAGCCCTGCCCTGGTCCCACAAAGGCTGGCCTGCCCCCAGGACTGTCACCACTGCCCGCTGCTCTGTGGCCCTCCTGTGGCCCAGCTCTTCCAACTGGACCTCAGTAGTCCTGCATCTCACTCTGAACACAAATGAAGAGACCCATAAACCCCCACACATGGCTGGAGCCACACACAGGGAAGCCTCTAATTTGTTTTCTTTGCCACCCAAGAAATTATCACGAATATAGCAGCTTGAAAGATGCCTTTGCCAATCAGCTCACTGTCCTGTAGGCCAGACATCTGAGCAAGAACGGGTCTCCTTCCCGAGCAGGGATGGCAAGCCTTGCTGAGCTTCCATGAAACAAACAGCTGGCTGTGACACACGTGCCATAGTTCACTGCCATCGGCCAAGGGGACCCCAGGTCAAGACGAGGGCCCACCAGTTGGCTCAGGTTGGGCCTGGGGCAAGAACCTACTCCCTGGCTTCCTAGCGGTATGCAGAATGCAGCTCCTCATGGGCACGTTGCTGGTCACAGGTGGGGAATTCTCGGCATCTGGAGGCCCCTTGAGCACTGTGGAAAGCCGCCACCGTTCTCCTGCCGCTCCCCTCCACTTTTAGCGGGTTCAATCAGATTAGGCCTACTCGGGAATCTCCTCGGTACAGCAGAATTTAACACAGCCCCGGGAGTAGCACCAGAGGACAAAGCTTAGGAGCACCTGCAGGTTCTGCCTTCTACGGGCCATATGAACGATGAACTCATTGTTAGAATCTGCTAGAGCAGAGGTTACTGGATTGAACCTAGGGCTTTCTCACTAAGCTATACCTCTAGGCCTTTTTATACTGTAACACAGAGAGCCACCAGCTGCTATCTTCCCCCAGCGGGGCTGGAATGTGCGCGGCTTCTGCCTCAGCGACCCACAGCACACGCATTACAGGTGCACACCACCACATCCGGCTCCGAGCACTCCTGTTCCTTCACCAACACAAGCCAGAAAGTGGAGACGAGAGGCCTCATGGAAGCCTTTTACTTCTTTGGCCTCCAGTGTCCCTCGGGGTGACCAGATCTGTTTAGCTTTCCTTCCTGACCAGTGGTGAGGTCTGGCTGAATTCCAGGCCTGCGTGCAGATGGCCAA